CAGGGCGCTGGCAGGCCGTGGCCCCGCGGCACAGGTACGGGAGGTGCCTTTTTAATTTTCTGGCATCATCTCCTACGTCATGTGGCACCCTGTTTCACGGCGGCGGGGTCCCACCCTAGCAATGGCTGCATTTTTGTGGCAGGTGAAGTCATTCCCACGTAAAGCCGCTTAAGGTGCGCTGGAGCCGTCGGGAGGGCAGGTGTCACGTCCGCAGGTAATAAAACACAAAATCTGGACGCCCCGGCTCGGGGCAGCCCCCGTTTTGCCTTAGCAAAAGGGAGCGATGCTGCACGGCATCTTGGCCCTCACCGTGAAACGGCGGCGGCTGGCGTGGGAAAACCGGCGCTTGGCCGGTGTTTGAAGGAGGGCTTCACCTGGAGGGAGTGCCTGCCTCGGCTGAAAAGCGTGCTCCTGGAGCATCTGAAGCAGCACTCTAACTTTCAGTTTAGTGTGGAGATGGACAGTATTTGGTGGCACACAGTAGTTCTGTATCTCTTGGAAAGATAGTTGAGAGAGGAACAGCATCGTTCTCCACATCAGAACACATTAGTACTGCAGAAAGCAGATGAGAGATTGATACTAGTTTCTGCTTAACATCCAGATGTGCTTCATCAGAGTACATTTGACTTTCAGACTTGCATTTGCTTTCTCTTCAAGAATATTTTGCTCTGTTGTACATCATCTTTTATTTGAATGTTCCTCATCTTGGCACACTGAACAAAATAAGCTTTGATGCTCTGCAAGATGAGAGCAAGACATTCTGCAGATGTACTGGTTTAAAAAAAAAAAAAACCCAAACCAAACACTAAACTCCAAAAAAACCAACAGGCATTAGAGGCAAGTTAGATATGCCTGTTCAGTTTTCTTTCTGAGCTGGCTGCAGTATGGTGATAGGCATGTCTGTTCAGTGTTTTAAGAACATACTTTTTTTATACATTTACAAAATCAAAATATTGAGGTTTTGTTGAGCACTGAACTTTGCAAGCTCTCAACTTTTGTTGCCCTTGATATTTCTGGAACTTATGTATGATGTGAAATAGCCTGCTGAAGGAGAAGCATTACATAAATGGTAAAAGGTGAGGCTAAACTGTGTACTTCAGGGGTTTTACTTTGAAAGTACAGATACTCAAGATGAGGGGGTATATAGAAAGCTACATATTAATACTTTTTTAAATGCAGGCTTACTTATATAAAAGCTTCTGTTTTCCTTGACAAACAAGAGTCAGCTGGAAAATGGTGGCAGGTGTACTTCCTATACATTAGAGCTGTTTCACTTTGCCATTAGCTGAAAAAGCATCATCTCTTTTATTGTATCTCTGGCATCTTGGCAGCTTCTTCAGTTTAATATTGAATTGTTGGTAAGTGGATTTGCATGCTCTCTTAGTTCATGAGGTGCATTGTAATAGTGTAAATCTGCAAGGAAGCACATAGGATAGGACAAATTTGACAGCAAAGGCCATTTTGAACAAGTTAACTGAAAACTGGTTGGCTGAAATTTTATGACTTACCCAGAATTGCTTCAAAGCAATAGTTCTCTTTTAGTTCATTTTAAGCATCGCAACAGAAGTTATGGAAAGTTATGTAGGGCATAAAAGTTCTTTCAGGATTCCTTTTGACATCCAAGTGGGAAGATACTGTCATCTTCACCAGGAAAATCATCCCATAGCCTGATGGGAGTCATGGTAATAAATACATATCAGATACAGCACAGTTGTCACTGTGCCTGTTTGCAGTTGTGCCTAGGAGCTGTGTACTGCACGAGCAGCAGAGCTGTATGGGGCAAGAGGGCTGTTTGCTCACCATCCGAAGTGAAGCTGCTGTCGTCTTAACACGAATTGGTTAACACTCATACATATTTCACTAGATATATAACACTATAACCTCAAGTATTAGGGCTGCACGGAAGGCAAGTTCTGAATCCCAATTTTATGGGAAACCTGTATCAAATTCTGCCCTTACATCCTCTGCCATTTCCCTCCTTCCCCCATCCAGAGTTGGAGTACTTCACTTTGCAAGAGGAGAAGGAGTTTTCCAAAACAATTTGTGTTATTTTCTAAACAAAACCAAACGTGAAGTCAAACAAAACCTAAATTTTGTAATTGCAAACATTGACCATGATAAATACCTATTACTGAAAATTAAAAGTCATCCTGCAGTTGCATACAGGCGAGTGAAACTAACAGGCAAGTAACACCAACATCTGCATGTGTTTGATATGGTGAAACTGATGTTAAAGATTGATGCTTTGCCTGGGAAACAATTAATGTGAAATCAGTCTATTTGTATTAGTTTAACAGGAACGTTTTCCTCTCCTGAATGTTTGTCATCTGTAACTAACATAAACATTTGCGATTTTTTTAGTAAGTATTTAAATTTCTAAGTTTGTTGTTGACTACGAAGCATCCCTCCTGAGCATCTGACCTAATTTTAAGTGTCAAAAATGTACCCAAGTGCTGTGCATGCAGGCAATAGGCTTTTGGAGGCTGCTGTTGAATATGCTTGGAGAAACTTCCAGTAGAGTTTGTTTAAAAAAAAAAAAAAAAAAAAAAAAAAAACATATTTCTCTTTATTTCAAGCTGTCATCAGATTTATTTCCTGCTGAAATGGAACAAAGACAGTAACAGCTGTTACAGCTGTACTGCACCGTTGTGTAGATAATGAAGAAGCAACTGAACCTGATGTTAATGTTTCTAATTGGAAAAATTGTAATGCTAATAAATATGCCAATTTCTTATAATCTGGGAGTTGCAGTAAGTGTTACAGCTAGAAGGTGGTTATAAATCCATTTTCAGATAGTGAGAGTAAATTACTTTTTGTTAACACTCATGATGGTAAAGGTGGTTGATCATGTTCTTTCTTTAAACTATCAGTGTGGTACTTCTGGAATGGTAAGGTGGGATATTCAGCCAAAAATAAACCTTGATTGGTAATAAGACATCAAAAATCACAATGTTTAATAGTTTTATTTGAGCCCTCTTTAATAAAGCACTTAGTCCTGTATGTCCTTCCAATAGACTACCTGAAATCCAACATATCTTGTAAGATTGTAAGTATACATATATAAATACTTTTTGATGTTTGTCTTCTGTGTTAAATCCTGTAAGCAGAACCTATGCATAATTCATATTTCTAATGCATTTAAAAAAAAAAATCTTAAAATGACTCTGTATCACAGATTAGAGGAGTTTTTTGTTCAATTTGAGAGTCCTGATTTGCTAGAAAAGTAACATTATCCATTAATTGAATTTCAGCAAAGCTGTTGCAAGTACAGAAGTATGTGCATAGCCCCAGAAGATGTTTGTGTTGTGGTGTTCATGTACACTATAGATGTAAATTATTGGAATGAAACATTTTGTCACCTACTCCTACACCTATTTCTACATCCTAAGAAACGTTGGTAGTCTAATGGTCTTGCTTCTAAGTACATGGGAGAAAATTATATGTTAATAGGTTTTAAATGTAATAAAAGCTTTTTACCAACAAAATTTCATTTAGAAAAAAAAACCCAAAACACTGTTTACTGTTAATGCTTTTGTATCTCTGAAAATGTATGAGACTTACAGGGTTGTTTTCTCTTTTAAGAGCCGTGGCCTGTCCATGAACTTCGATTGGCATAAGAGAGCTGATAGACAAGAATGAGCAAAACTACGGAGTGTTAATAGGTGAGAAGAAACCAAAGATCAGAAAAATAACTGAAAAACATTAGTTGGTAATTGAATTAAGATGAACACTTTCCTGACTCTGGGATTTATTTTCGGACTCAGTGCTGGGGAAGCATTATGTAACAAATTCTCAAAAAACTGATGAAAGTTAATTTCTTGTCTGCGGTGATTTGACAGAGTGTTACAGTGCTTATGTATGTTTAAATGTCAGTTTGAATTTAGGAGGTATAATCATAGCTCTTGCTTTTCAGTAAGTATTTTCAAGGTTTTATGGAATTATCAAATCTGCCAAGCCTATTTCTCTTTTTAAAATATAACATATAATAATTATTAATGCTCCTTTAAAAGAACCTAAACAAACCCCACAGCCTAAAAATCTCATCTGGGGATAAACTGCCATGAAAAAAACCCTGAAAATTTCAGCTTTTCAAATTATTGGATTTCTTGTGATTTGACTAAATTAGCTACAGATTGGGGAACAGGGATGAAACCAATAGATTTGTACAGCCATTGTGCTTGTCTTAGGATGTTTTGTTTCCTGCAAAAACAAGACCAAGAACAAGACCAAAAACTAGACCAAGAATTTATTTGATTTTTCAGAAAGTCCATTTTCTCTATGTTATGAGAGCAGCTAACAAATGTGGAAGCAACTTAAGTAATCAACTCTGTTTATGACTATGAGCAAGCTCTGAATCTTTCTGACTCGGTTTATCCCTCTGTAAGATCAGTTGACTGCTTCACAAGAATGTTAAGATGTTTAATTAAAGTGTAATTGTTTTGCCTCTGAACTCATCCAGGTCCTGATTCAATGCACATTGAAGTCAGTGAGGAGCTTTTAATTAATTTCATTGAGCTTTAAATAAGTATACAAGTATGCACACCCATGTACACTTAAAGAAAATGTGACCTAAATTTTTGCAGCAGAGTTTCTGTAAAGGAGCAGTGTAAATACTGAAACAGTTGAAGGTGAAGTAATAATGGAAGGCTTTTTGTAGAAGTCAGAAGGGGATGGTGCAACTGCGGTGATCTCTGGTGCCTCATGCCATGCTAATGTCATTTTAATAGAGTTTCCTGACTTTGAGTGTGCTGGATCTTCTATGGGAAACTGAAATTTTCATTGTGTCCTGGCAGCTTGCTCAGTTGGTCAGGAGAGGCAATATCAGACTTCAAGATAAACACAGTTAACTGAATGTTTATGCAAAAACGATCAGCAATAACACACTTAAAATATAATTACCTTTAAGAGTTGATGCCAAATGGAGAAAAATGGGAGCATTCACATCTGCTTAGCTGCTTTTTTTTCCAGGAATGTCTGTAGATGCCAAATAATACTCATTGGTTTATGTGGAATTCATGAAAGGTTTTTCTTAACTTCAGAGGTCAAAACCACCAGGTTTTTTAAAGAGAACTTTTATCACTGAAAATTTGGTCAGCAGCTACAGGGGACTTGGCAAAATAAACCTTTCACTGTTCACATAAAACTGTTTGCAACGATTTTCTTAATGTTTCACTGTCATGATTCTTAGTTCATTAGCTCTTACAAAATACGTTTTAATCTTTAAATAAAATTCAGTACATGTCATCGCGCGTGTGAGGAAATAAACTGTTGGCACCTTGTTTTTAATACATCTATTTCATTGTTCTTTTCTTGGTAGCTGCAATTTTAAACATAACTTCTATAAGCTCCTTCCTTTTGTTGAGAAACTGATTATAATAAAGATGTACTGTAATTGTACTAACAGTTTGGGAAGTGCAGAAATCTGTCTGCAACGTCAGTAATTCTTTCCCCAACGTCAGTAATTCTCTTTTCCCTTTTTCTGCCTTAAATTGGTGGTTGTTACATGCAGTCCTGCTCATGGCAACTTTCTGAAGTGGTCTGGAATCTTAGAGTAGTTTTAACTTGTAGAAGGATCAGCCTTGTCTTGAGCACTGTCATTAATGGTCTCTGGGCTAGCACCTTTTGTTACCATTGGTATATATTGGAGTTTGATTAATCAAAATATATATTGTTTCATCTGCATGATGTCCCTGATTAGTAGGGGAGCGATTGCCATTTATCCTGTAAATACACCAGATTCCACGTATATAGGAGATCCTAAAACAGCAATCAGTTTTAAGTATTTATCTGCATTAGTGTTGATCTCTGTATAAATCAAACTTGCCACACAATTCCACAGGTAGTTTTCCATGCAGCTCAGCCTGGTAGCCTTTCACGTTCGTGTGTTCTCAGTCTTGCCTGTGATTCTTCTGGTTTTCATCGTGCTCTGAAGCTAATCAGGCCTAACACGGATTGGTACTTGATGTAACCTTTCAAAAACCCCTGTAGTCAGTAGTTTATTTTTCTCCAGCCGTGTGTGTGTGTTTGTACAGTAGTGCTGAATGGTTATTTCTGCTGTCAAACTAATGACCTCATACAGGTTCATTTCACAGTTCAGGGATAATATAATGAAGGTAACATTCAGAATTGTGGCTAGGGAGGAAGGAAACTGCATCCCTTTTCCTGAGAAATAGGAAGTCTCCTGAAGGCAAGATTTCCTTCCTTGTAATCCTATTTTACAAAAAAATACAGAAAGCAAAATGTCTGTGGTAAAATTGGTGTGTAATTAGGAATTTGTTTTAAACTTGTGAACGTTAAAAACCCTCTCAAAATTGACAAGGATTTTTTTCCCTTCCTCCTTTCTACATCAGATATCTTTGCAGCATGGTCTTGTTTGGTGACCTAAAGAAGGTAACAAAAATCCTTTTCTTGTGCTTTTTGTTTTTAATAAGTCCTTCAGAGAAGAGAGGAACCGGCATACTTTTGCACATAGGATTAAAACAGCTGTTTGGACCAGTTTATGAAAGATTATTGAGGAAAGTTCTCAAGGAGTATTATTTTGTGAGGGCCCTAGCAGCAGGGGTCTCTTGCCCATATTATCCAATAATATTAATGGTGTGAACAGATCACTGAGGTGGCTAAGGTTTTGTGTTGTGGTTAGTGCAAAAAAGGTGATGAGGGAATATATTCGTATTAGACAAACAGTTGTTAATTCTTAGTTCAACTTTCAGCAGAACCTGTTAATAAAATACCTCTTTAAATGGATTAAAAAAATGAAACCATACATTGCTTCAAAGCTGTGATCACTACTTTGCTTTTTCGGTTATGCAGAGCATCCATGGGGAAAGCAGCACAGAAGATGTTTATTTTTTTGCCCCCCCTCTCTAAAGAGGCAAGATAAGTAGGTGTCATAAGGGGTGTATTTATGGCATTTGACAGCAAATTTTATTGATGTATGAGGCCAGAACAATATATCATGATGCTGTCCAATGGTTAGGCAATTTTGGTAGTCAAGAACTATTCATCTAAGTCTGTGGTCCTAACACTGTGCTTTGATACAGTATTGCAAAATATTAAAATGCTAAGTAGTCACCAACCTAATAACAACTCACATTTTAATTGCTTTAAAAAAAATAGCAATAATCTCTACGGTAAAAGATCTGTAGGCATTTTCAGTGTAAAATATATATGATCTGGCATTAATGACGTTCAGATGTCAGTATAAATTACAGGGCAGCATAGGTCATGTTTTACATGGAAAGCTATCTAATATGCTAGGCATTTGTAGAAAGATACTATGTTGACGAGGAATACGAAAGAAATGCCTGTAAATATAAGGGTGCTTCAGTGAGTGGAATAGTGGAGAGAAATCCTTTCAGGAGGCATTACTCGTGATGCCTGCCCTTTCTGGTTAAATATAACAATGCAGTGTGCCTGAGCTGCTGAGAAGTTGGTCACTAGACCACAGGCACTTCGATTCTAAATATGGTACTTGTGGCTTTTGGGGGCTTTTACTGCATACTTGAAAATGGAAATTAAATGTTATTGTTAGTTTAACTGCTTACAGATACGTACTGGAATCTTGCCTATTCTGATTTTAGACTGTTCTGTAATGGTTTATGATTTGTTAATAGTGTTGCTTTTTTGTTGAAGATGACTGCAACTTCAAGCTTTTGCACTAGGTGTAGTTTAATTTCAAAAATCTGAATACAAATATGTATTAATGAAATTATTTGGTTGGAAACATACCAAATACTCAAGTGCTTTTCCAATAGCACTGCTGGTAATTCTGAATGTGTCCTTGTTCCTGCATATTTCTGTTTCCTGTTCCATTTCAAGCCACTTACTGAAGAAGGCAGAAAAAACATTCTGCACCTTGGGCATATACACATACTTGAATCAATTCCGACATTGTACTCTGTTGTGTAGGCATGGTAGGCTTATTTTAGCTTCATTATGAAAACTGAGCAAATTTCTTGCTTCTCCAGCCAACTAATTCTTTATCTGTGTTTATGCTTCATGGGTGTAGGGTGTTTGTCCCATGTAGCAAGTTATTTGTGAGTCTGAGTTCAGTTTCTGTAATATAAATGGCAGTCTTCAGGAAAACCCAGTTTTAATGCTAATGATCTGTAAGTCTTAAGAGAATTTAGAGTCCAGTGTTACCACTTCTTGCAGAGCTTCTTTGAAAACGTGACTTTGGTCATAAAGCTGACTGACATTACAAGAAAATGAAGTGACCACAATTAATGGTCTTGATCTTCCATGTGCATGTTTTTGTATTGGCCTTGGTTCAGTTTCTGCAGTGATTATAGAATAGACATGCTGCAGGAGGCTCTGTCATTGGTGTCAATAATTAATAGTCCAAAAATATGATACTTCATAGGTAGAGATGTTATATGGGTACATATTTGTAGAATGTGTGCAGCGTGCCTACCATATAAAATGGGATAGATATATTGAAAATAGTTTGTTGATTCTTGTAGCCTGTTGATAGAATTTTTACCTATTACTGGTGTTCCTTTTTTCACTCAAATCAGGCTACGAAAATAAAACTAATTTCTTAAGAACAAGAAGGCATCTCAGGTTTGTTATGTCTGTGTGCTAGAAGCTTCATTTTCTGTTTCTGAAGAGATAGATTATTTGTAGATCCATAGAAAGCATTGCTGTACAGTTTTGTTTTGAT